AAACATGTCTCTGAGATGCATTTTGCTAAGAGAAATCACCCCAGTCAGGCCCGTTTTACTAACTTGGCAGAAAATACTGAAAACAAGATTGTTGATTCTTTGTTATCTGCAAAGTCCATCTGTTTTGTGCTAGTCTGTTTAACCTCCTAGGGTTGCATTCCCAAGTTAATGCAAAACAATTAGCTTCAGATTAAAGCAGGATCTCAGAAGATAAAAAAAGGAAAAAAAAAAAAAAAAGGCTGAATAGATATGGAAAAGCAGAACAATAGACAAAAAAGCTTATTTCAAGACAATAAAATTGGGGGAAAGCTCCTCATGGGAACAGAGTCTTTTTTCAGTAGTGTAGAGCCACAGAAATAGCTTCCAAGGTGTGACATTCCATGCCTTTTAGGCAGTGGTTGGTGAAGCCTCCTTTGGTTTGCCATAGGCAGGTCTTTCTCCTAGATTTCCCCCCTACATTTTGTTCGGCACCAGAAACTCACCTAGAGCATCTTTAACTTCAGTTTGCTTATGCTATGACCAGTGAGAAAACATTATCAGTACTCAGAGTCCAGTTTCTTTGAATATTTCCTCACAAAATGCCAGATGCAACCTCTTTCCTTCTCCCTTTAAAGGTATCTGTTTAATTTCCGGGGAGTGGCTGCCAGTTTCCGTTTGAAACACCTCTTCCTGTGTGGTTCACTCGTCTTTCACGTTGGAGAAGAGTGGTTGGAGTTCTTCTATCAGCAGCTGAAGCCCTGGGTCCACTACATCCCAGTCAAATCAGACCTCTCTGATGTCAGGTGTGTGACCCTAGCTATGCTCAGTGGGACAACGCAACACTGCTCTGTTTGGGAAGGTGGCTTACACTAAGAGCCTCTGCTCATATGCATCAGACAAAGGCTCTTGGAGGTCATGTTCTTTTTGCTTTATTATCGTACCCAGAGAACCATTTGCTTGTATTTCTTACAGAATGTGGTTTCACTGGGGTACATAGGTCTCTCACCCTCACTGAAATCAGCAGGCATTAGGTACTTAAATATCTCTGCAAGTGAGCACAGAAACACAGATAAGAGAAAGAAGAACATATTACTGGGCTGCAAATGTGTTAGCTCCTGGATTTCAGCATGCTGTCCAGGACTGATACAGAACAAATATGAATGACAAGATTCTTCTGTGCTCTGAAATCCTTGCTCAGCTCTAAATCCTTAATCTCGTCCTCTGCAATAGTTTAGCTAAGTTGAGTTGTAGTTCCCCACTAAGCTAGTTGTTTCATGGCATTTTTTGTCTGCATTTTAGGGAGCTGTTGCAGTTTGCAAAGGAAAATGACAACATAGCACAAGAAATTGCAGAGAGGTAAGTTGTGTGTCCTTCCTGTTTGTCAGGCACTCTTCTTCCAAAACATTTTCTTACACAGCTTTTGAAGAGGTTACCTATCAAAGCCAGCCTAGTATCAATAGGGTAAAGTATATTTTCCTTCCACAGTAACAGCGGGAGTTTTAGAGACCTTATAGCAAGCGGGGGAACCTGGAGATTATGTGTTTAGGTCTTCGGTTCAGATGTGACCTGTGGCAGGAACCCCACTGAAAGCTATCAGATGTTAGGAGCTTTTGTCTCAGTATGAAGTGAGTTGGCCCCTGGGAGCTGCGTCTGCATTAAAACCATTATATACCCAGGATAGCACAGGCTGCCTTCTGAAGCAGCATGTAGCATTGCTGCTTAAGCTGCATCTGATATGTAAAAGTTGATATTTATTATCCCTGATAACAAATACCATCTTGAGGATAACAAAAGCAGTGCAAGTGTCAGGGCCGTAAGAGTGAATGAAGATTTTGAAATCAAAATAGATGGTACGGAGCAACGCATGTTGTTTCTCATTTGGAAAAAAAAAAACAAACAACAGAAGAGTGAAAGTTGATATGCATATGAAACAAAACCAAAGACTCTTGTAGGAACTGGAAATTGGTTCTGACTGTGCCTTGTGTGTCTCTAGGGGACGCCAATTCATCACTGAACACTTGCAGATGGAGGATGTCTCTTGCTACTGGGAGCATCTGTTGTCAGAATATTCCCAAACCTTGACTTACAAAGTGAAAAGGAGGAAGAACTACAGTGAGATCACTTCTGAATGGTTGAAAACGGAACTGTAGAGACTTTTCTGCTTTTCTCTTCAGCTCAAACTGATCTCTCTGGAAATCTGAAGATGGGTGTATCTTCTTTCTTGTTTTCTCAGATTTATTATTCTTTACACTAAAACTGCAGGGACCACCAATAGGCTAACTTTAAAATTATTCCCATGCACTGGGACCCAGTCTACTGTTGCCATAAGAACAGTAAGTTGAAGGTTGGAGTATGGCTGTTTGCTGGGCTGGTTATGCTCATGCCTGGAAGAGTGTTGTTGCAGAATTGCAGAATCACAGAATCACAGAATCATAGAATGGCCTGGGTTGAAACGGACCACAATGATCATCTAGTTTCAACCCTCCTGCTGTGTGCAAGGTCACCAACCACTAGACCAGGCTGCCCAGAGCCACAGTCATTTGGGATTTTGTTACTGCCTGTCTCAGAATGACCCTAAATCCCATTCAGTCAATGAGATGCCTTGCTGTTCATTTTACTGGACTTGTTGCCAAGTCCTCTGTACTCATGGCAAAGTAGTGTTTGCTATGCTCAGCTGGGAGATACATGTCCATTTTTGGCAGTGGTCAGTGTTTTCTCATCTGTGTGATAGCACTTGGGATATTAGGTATTCCCTGACAGGAGCAGGTACTGGGATTTGAGGTAACCTTTTTAGATAGCTTAGAGCTTAGGTTTGTGATGTTTAGGTCAAGTTTTTAAGGTCGATGGCCAGATTTTGATGGGCCATTGAAAGGACAGATTATCCTTGCACAGGTAAATTACCTACCTCACAAGAGAATGGCTGGTGATGATAGCACTGCCATAATGCTTGGCCTGAGTAGCGGACAGTCAAGCAGCTGAGATAAAGGCTGCCTCCACTGTGGGGCAATGAGCTGGGTCCATGCACAGCCATGCAAAACTGAGGCTGTGTTGTCAAGGTCTCAGCAGTCTGCTGGCCAGACATCCTGGGACCCTTAAGAACCCAGAGAAAATATACACAGAGGTAGATCAAGCTGTTCTTTTTTTTTTTCTACACATTCATATATTCTCTGCTCTGATCCTCTTCTGTAATCTTTCTAAGGCTTTTCATTTTAAGGCTGGTGACACCTCTGCTCAGTTCAGCATTCCCTTTTCTTACACGCAGCTGTTAGGCTCCTATTCTCTGTCTGGTTGAGGGAATGCCTTCAAGTCTCACAGAAACAGCTACTCCTCGCATTGTTCATCTTAAGTTCGGTCATAGGTTGCTTGTGCTAAGTGTATTTATGCCAACTGCAGGCTGCTCAGCTCATAAGGAATGCAGTTTCCAAAATGCTCTATCTTTTCTGAGCTGAGAGAGACCTGGGAGGAAGCAGCGTGTTCTCTGGCATCCAGACAGGCTTTGTTTCTCTTGCTTACTGTAATGTAAAGCCTTGCATGAAAACAAGGTTTTGAGAGGCTCAGAGCTACTCTGTGCTGCTTCCTAACCTGTCTGGTCCCCTGCAGTTGTGAGCCACTTGCTTTAGGATCAGTGTTCCTTCTGTGCTGCAGAATGTCTGCCTGAGCAGGGCGAGAGCAGCCGCTGTTCCAGACATATCCTTTGGGTGTGAGTGGCTGTCTGTCAGCAGAACACAGGTCTTGGCCTTCCTGGCATCTGGTTGCCCAAGCCTGCTGGAGTGCAGAGAAGCAGACTGCTCCCTCTGGCTGAAACAGCAGTGGTGGTAGCAGCATGGGATTCAGGGGTGGCCTCTGCATCTCTGGTGAGCTCCCTCGCTTACAGAGTGGCCTCAGTCATGTCTTAGGAAATAGCACATCAATGGAAGGGAACAATAACAACGGCTCATAGTTTTTTCTGTAGTCATTTTGGATCAGAGAAGAAAACACTGTCAAGAAGCTCCAAGTACACTCACAACACATACGGACTCAGAGATCTCAGCAGCACTGCCCAATCCAGGAGCAGGGATGTAACTATCAGTGGTACCGGTGAAGCTGCTAGAGCAGTATGCAGCTATATGCCACTGTGGGCACAGAAAACAAATTAAGATGTTAAAATAGTTTGGTTTCAGAGGAAAAGGGTTGAGTACAAGTGGAAAGGGTTTTCTGGTTTTGTATTTTTAGCCAAGCTCAGCAACCTGAGAAATGGAAACAACTCTGTATAGTATTTTTAAACCATTTTTAGTGATATGCTTTTGGATTAAAACAAACAAAAAAATGAACTGTTGCTGGGCGCATTATTTCTCAGAATTGCAAGAAAAGATCTGGATAGTCCCCAGCTGTCTCAATGAGAAGGGGAAGTTTGTCTTTCTGTGTTGTTTTTTTTTTCTTCTTTGACAGTATCTTTAGGGCGTGTCAGTGAAATCTGAGAAATATACCCATCCAAGTTGCCAAGTGATGCGTGACAGTGACTGAAAACTTTTCCTGAATGATAGCTTGCGTTAACTGGTGACTCCTCTGCTTCCTTTGTCACTTTCCTAGAACAGCCACTTTCCTAGAACCTGCCCCCACTCCTCCCCAACAGGGTGGAGCCCGAAGTGGCAGGGAGGTTGTTCCTAAAGGTGATGGGACCTCCCTCAGGACTGCAGCTCAGATAAAGGTTGGGATGTGAAGGATGTTCTGCACAGTGCTTGTAAGCACATGTAAGATGTACTGCCGCAGCGCTGGAGGCCCACACAAAAACAGGAATCTGTAACCTCCCAACCAGATACAACCAGAAGGGTAAAACCAAAAGCTGGCAGAGGTCTCAGTGGCCTGTGATAGTGGCACTGCTGCTGGGCCACGTCTGCTCCTGGAAAGTACAAGTGAAGGCCCGGGTGGTGGGTCGTGTTCATGGCATTACTGGACAGTCTGGGTTGGAAGGGACCTGGCAGCCCACCCAGCCCCACCCCCTGCCCCCCACCAACTCAGGCCGCCCAGGGCCCATCCAACACCGAGCGTCTCCAGAGATGGGGGCGGCCACGGGCACTGCACCGTGCGATAGGAAATCGGAAGCCAACAAGGGAATAAAGGCCGAGGGGCCCTTCTCCTTCCCACACACGCAGAAGCTCGGTCACCGCGCTAGAGGCTCCCGAGCCCTCGCACTGCCGGCCCGCCCCGCCGTGGAGCTGGGGGCGCTGCGGTGCTCGCTCGGCGCCGCCGCCGGGAGGGCCATGGCGGAGGGGCTGGGAGCAGGGCGGACCTTCAGCCGCCCCACGCCGCCGCCGCAGACGGGCTGGGAGCGGCTCAGCGAGCTGTGGCGGCGAGAGTGAGGGTCGAGCCGGGCCGGGGCGGCGGGGCCGGGGCGGCGGGCTGAGGGCTGCGAGCGTGCGTTCCGGGTGCGGAGCCCCGCGCCGCCGCTCCTTGGAGCAGAGAGCCGAGGCCCGTCCGGGCCGCGCGGCTCCGCGCTGAGGCACGGCGTTTCCTTGCAGCGAGCTGCAGCGGTACCCGGAGGAGACGGTGAACATCATCAAGTCGGCGTTCACCGGGGGCCTGGTCGGCTGGCTGTACGGCGGCCTGCCCGCCTTCCGCCAGGCGCGGAGGGCCTTCATCGAGGGCAGCCAGGGAGAGGTGTTCCAGAACCGCGCCGATGCGGTGGTACGGGGCCGGGGGGCGAACCGCGGGGAGAGCTGCCTTCGGAACCTCGGTGCTGAGCGGGTGGTGAAGGGGACGATTTCACACAGAGGGTGGTGACACACTGGAACAGGTTGCCCAAGGAGGTTGTGGATGCCCCATCCCTGGAGGCATTCAAGCCCAGGCTGGATGTGGCTCTGGGCAGCCTGGTCTGGTGGTTGGCAATCCTGCACACAGCAGGGGGTTGAACCTCAATGATCACTGTGGTCCTTTTTCAACCCAGGCCGTTCTATGATTCTGTGCGCATGCAGAAGCCCAAATCAGGTGGCGTGGTCCCAGCTAGTTTGCCTCTGCAAAGCAGCAGTACAAATGGGAGTTAATTCTTGGGGTGCCTGTTGTGGTGTAAACACTGGCTCTCATTCCTCAGGATGGGATCGGCTTTACCCTTAGGGGTGCCATTCCCAGCACCTTGAGTGGGATGGCGCTGAAGGGAGCGGCTCTGCGGTCTGTAACCCTTCTCCTCCTCCCCCCAGCAATCTGCACACCGTGCTGGACTCAGGAGCTTCATCCGCTACGGCTGGCGCTGGAGCTGGAGGGTGGCCACCTTCGTGGCCATATTCAAGTAAGTGTGCTCTTCGTGGTGGCGGTGGGAGAACAGAGGGTCGTGCTTGGACCCAGGCAGTCTGACCGATGAGGTGGAAACATGAAGAGGATTTCACCTTCTTAAATTAGCCCAGTGCTCAACCTTCTCATGAGCCAACACAAAAATGAAAACCGGAAAAGCTCCACTCACAACATCTGGCCCATTCTGTTTTGGGCCTAAATTGTGTTCTTCCCACCGTTACAGTGCACTGGCTGTTCTGGAACAGCTTTCTGTCCCACACTAATTTTTCTCCTTTTTGTTACGTCTTATCACCCCCACTTTCTGTACAGTGGCATTACTCACAATTCTCCGTCCTTGTCTTCAAGTTCTTGCAAGTGACTCCTTTGTGTGTCCCTGCACAAGCAGTGCACACACAGCATTCCACTTCTTCAGTTTTCTCCCCCAAAAGTGCCCGTGTGTCTCTCACGTACGGTGTCAGACTAGGCACGCTATTCCAGATAATGCCTTTACAACTAGGAACATCACCATGCCTGATGTGAAGAGTGGTATGTAGTTCTAGACCTGCACTGACTACACCTGTGTTCCCCCTCTGCTTTTAAGATAGCAGCAGTATTGACTAACACTAACTCCCGGTCAGCTGCTTTTATATTTCAGCCTTTCTCCATAATATTTTTATTCCTTTCTCTATTTCATCCATGTTTTCTCTCAAGTTTTGGCTCTTTCTGCCACAGTATTTTTTCTTGAGTTTAATTAGCATGCTGTTTGTTTTCTGTTTCAGAACTTTTAAGGCATTAGATTTTTCAGGACTAGTCGTGCAACATCGTTGCCATCCACCAGATGTCTCCCTTGCAAGCAAATGCATCATCCTTTTTCACTGTTCCTTTGTGAAAGGTTTTGAAGGGAGATGCTGCTCAGTGTTACTTGTTTCTGTGTGGCATCATAAAATGTTCCATGCTGGAAGGGCTCCACAAGAATCACTGAGTCCAACTCCTGGTTCCACACGTGACCATCCGAAATCCAAACCCTATGTCTGAGAGCGGTGTCCAAACACTCCCTGAACTCCAGCACTTGGGGCTGGGGCTGTGCCCACTGCCCTAGGCAGCCTGTACCATGCCCACTGCCCTAAATTCTTACTTGAAGGTTTTGTCCTGCAGTTGCATACATGTCAGGTTTTGTGGTTTAAAAACAGGTTGTTAGTTCCGTGTTTTGGAATGTTTGACATTACATTGGTAGAGAGAGAGATGGAGGAGGTGGTGCTCCTAATCCAGCATGGGACCTTCTGCTTCAGGAGCTGGTGGCCCTGGTGACACCTTGAGTATGATTCAGCTCTAGTGGTAGCTGTACGACTGACAGGACCACTGCATTGCTCAATCCCTTTTATTCTTGAATGTAGGATAGATTTAAAAAAAAAAAAAAGTCTTTGATTTACAAAAAGGAAAAAAGGCTATCCAAAAGTGGTACTCCCTGACCTCTGGCTGTCCAGCTGCATGCGGTAAAGTTGCAGAAATAAAGCACTTCTGGTTGGCATGTGTGTGCTACGGCCAGGCTGGTAGCAGGACACAGTGGCACCCTGCAGGTGGGCTTAATGAAATCCTACTTCTTTTCAAGCAGTGTCTTTTTCATGTGTAACTGCTGTCTTTATGCCTCACCCTTGCAGCGTGGTGAGCACCGGTCTGTCCGTGTACCGCGATAAAACCACCATCAGTAATTTTGCTTCAGCAGGAGGTAAGACTGGGTAATTTTTATCTGTGTACTTTTTTTACTTTTTTCAGTGTCAGTAAGCAGAGGTCATAAATAGAAAATCATAAGCAAAAATCCATATCTTTTGAATATGAGCAGGCCCGTAGCATCATTGCGCCTTGCTTTTGCTGCCTGTTACACTGGCTGTCTTTGGAACTTTGCTCCATGGTGTAGTTGCTGTCTGCCTTTATCTGTAACACATAATCAATGCATTATCTGAAACCAATGGGGAATTCTGTGGTTATTAGTCCGTTCTCAAAATACTTGTTGGAGTTTTTGTGTGAAAATTGCTTGTGTGGCATAAATGCGACACTTAGTGCATGATCAGCCCTCATAACCACCTCCTCAGCAGGGGATCATCTCTTATTTCTGCTCATCACAACAGTTCAATGTTTATAAATGTTTATAAAGTACTGTTTTTGTGGCAAGTTTTGCATGTCCACTTTTGGCAATAGAGCTCCTGGTAAATATGGTCATTAGGTTTTAGAGGCTTTGTTACCCATACAGCTGGGTATGTGCTTTACTGTTCTTTTCTGCCTTACATGGCAGCAGCTATAATTAGCTGCTGTTGAACAGAAGGGGAAAAAAAAGGGGGGGGAGAAAGGGTGACAGAGCCCTGGAGTGCGCTGCCCAGGGACACTGTGGAGTGTCCTTCTCTGGAGATATTCAGGACTGTCTGGACACTTTCCTGTTGTAGGGAATTGCTATAGCAGGAGGTTGGACTGGATGATCTCCAGAGGTCCCTTCCAACCCCTATGGTTCTATGATTCTGTGATTGTGCTCCAATCTGGAAAGAACTGAGTTCCACTTTCATAGTTACTTTTGCATTTTAGCATTTCTTAGGGAGTTGTTCTCAAGAAGAATGAGCTTTGTGTTATGTTTTAGTGCAGAGAGCGCATGGACGAAAGCAGGGGAAAAGCATTGCTACAGTAAGTCAGGCTGCTGTGACTGCGTGGTGGGACTGTGCCTGCTGGCCACAGTGCTTGGTTTCTGCTCTGTTAAAAACAAAAGTCAGCTAACAGAGAGGAGAAGTGTGGCAGAGCAAATCCCTTGGCAAGCCTGCGATGGCTGGTGAGGGGCCGATTTGTGGTTTCAGCCAGTTTGTGTTTTTCAGCCTTCACAGGAGCTCTCTTCAGAATGCACTTGGGCCTGCCTGGGCTGGCAGGCGGCTTCCTGTTCGGAACAGCCTTTGGGTAAGTTGTGACTGGTGGCAACCAGAGACTGAGTCACAGTTACTTTTTGATGGTCTGTGTTAGATGGTGGCCCCCCACACCAAGCCCTGAGTCACAGGTGGGACTGCAGATGTTTTCCTTTCTCTCTTGCCCTGAGGGGTTTTCTTTATTTTTCTTGGGACCTTGTGATGATAGGTTTTTCTTCCAGGCCTTTAACTGTTTTTTTCTTTTTCTTTTCTTGATTTATATTTTGCTCTTTCCTTTGTGATAAGAACTTAGAGCTCTCAACAGAGCGTCTTATCGCTGTTTGCATAGCAGAGGAGGCACTAACTGCTGTTAAATAGGAAACCATGAGGTGGGTCACAGACATGTTTTCTAGGTATGGCCATTAATAAGCCCCATTGGTTGCGCACAGAACAGTTTAATGTCTCTTTAAGTAACTGTGGTGGTTGGGGTTAAAGACAGGAGTGTAGGAGATAAAGCTTTAGGGCTCCTGGTCCAGCAGCTCAGAACCCAGAGCTGAATGCACAAGGGCTGTTGGATGGCTCAAAATGAGACCTTTATAAAACAGGTTCCATCAAAGTCAAGATGTGGAGTGGCATCCATTAGGAAATGCTGAGGAAGAGGCTGTGTGGTAGGGCTGCACAATCCAAAACTGTAAGATGTCACGTTGCTGTGGATACCTTGCATCTCCCTGAGTGGTGGGAGGGGACTCAAGCTCCCTGAGGGTGGAGGGGACCCATAGTTCTCTCGGATTCTGTCCATTTAGGCAGTGATCTCTTAACTCAGGCAAAAGTTAAGAGAAGGTGGGTTTTTCAGGCTGAGCTGGCACATTAATGGTTGTTGGTGCACAGTAAGTCCTGTCACCCCCTTGATTTATGTGTGCCTGCTCATGAATAACTTCCAAATACATTTTCAGGGGGCTACAGTGAGTCACAGCTGATGACTGACGTTAGCACGAGAGTGCCTTAGTCTGCTGTCATTTCAGTACTGGGCAATGTTGTGCTCCAGTGATCTGGTGGCTGGCCCCCGCATGCTCCTTTCACTGTTGCCAGTAAGTTATTACTACTGAATGTCCTCTGGGTAACTTGTGACTTCTCTTCTACTTTTTCTAGGATCCCTGCAGGGGGTCTCCTAATGATTGCACAGAAATTTGCTGGTGAGACTCTGCAGGAGAAGCGAAATCGTGAGCGCAGGGAGCAGTATGAACAGAAATTAGCAGAGTGGTAAGAGACAGAGCTGCCTATTCAAGTCTTTGACTAGAAGAGTGTCCAGGTCTCTGTGGCTCAAATGTTTAGAGAAGCCATGCCATACCATGTTTTTGGTGTGTTCCACATATCTATCTACGAACTGCAGATATAGTCTTCTGGGGATAGAGGGCTGTGAGGCTGGCTGCATGACTTACTGAAACTCACAAGGAGTGCCTGTTCTAGAAGAAATTCTAGAAGAAATTCTTGCAGTGATGTCTTTGTAAGAAATACACTGACACAAGGTTTCTTTGCACTCTCTTTTCCCTTGTCAGGCAATCCAGGCTTAGTGTGACTGAAGACTTGGGCAAAAAGGAAAGCGATGCCCGGAAACAATCACAGACAGAAAATAACAGGAGAATCTAGGAGCTCCTGAGTCTTCCTCAGATCTCTGTCGTAAGCAGCTATAATTTCTACTTATAAAAGTCTTTGTCCGAAGAGATAACAAAGTCTTCTGTGAATGCTGTTGTATCATTTGCACTTCTGAAAAACCAGTTTGCTGAAAATGTTTTTTTGTGGATGCATATCACTTCTCAAGAGCTTGGAAGGGCCAAACGTGTTCCACTACAGAAGGTGGATGCGTAGGCTCTCCAGGCTAGCAAGTGTCAGCTAGGTTTGATTGAGGATGAGGGCAGCCACAGAGCCTCTGCTAGAACCCATTTGCTGCTGGAAATGTCCAAGCTGTTGGTGATGTAGAAATACCAAAAGTGGAGGAGCTTGCTATTGCTAAAGGGAGCCTGCTTCTGAAAGCTAATTTTATTCTGGTGAAAGCTGCTCTTCAGACAGTGCCTGAAGCCCCTGCTGTGAAGCACAATATAGGCTGCACCAGTGCGAGTGTTCCTCTTCTTGCCACCCCTCTCCCACACCTTGACTTTGCCTGGCTGGGACCGGTTTGGTTTTGCTGATAGTGGTTTATTCATGCTTTTTGCAGAAAAACTCATTTGTCTCTTACAGTGCTTAGGGTATTTCACAATCAGTTTTGAGGAAGGGTGGAGGATATTGGAGTGGCATGGAAATACCCTGTAGAAGACATGTTTTGGGTTCTTCAATAGAAGTGTGGCTGAGGGGTCCACGGAAAGGATGACCTTTTCTGATGGTAATGGTGGAAGCATTGGCTCAGTGGACAAATTTAAAGGCAATAAAAAATGCTCAGATTTCACATGAAGGTTGAAAATTAGAGGATTACCTCGGGGGGGGAAATGCAGTTCATGACATTCAATAAAGCCATCTGGCAGTGGTGATTGTGTCCATAATCTCTTTATGCTTAAGTGGTATGGTGCTTGCATTAGGGAAACATACTTGAGCAGTGTCCCGTGAGAAGAGTTCTATCCAAGATCCCCCCAGGAAGCATGAAGTCTGGTGGCAGTGTCAGACTTCTCCCCAGGCAGTAACAGGAACCTCTGATTATTATTTTATAGCAGAGGTCAACCGTTAAGTTGTAGCTGCTACCTATGAGTAGGGCTGAGGATAATTTAATAATGGCCTGTACCTGAGGGCAGGTGGTGACCTGTTGCCATTTCTCTCAGAGCAGAAGGTCAGACTAATGGTCCCTTTTCTTTGCTGGGGTTTTTGTCTTATTAAAAAGAATTGTATCCAGGCAGGGGGTTAAGGTCCCATAGGAAAAGAGTAGGCAGTCTATTCTGCGCGAGTGCTTTCCTCTGCTATGGCTAATTAGTGTTGAATGAAATATGAGCAGCTCATTGCACAGAGCATATTCCACCCACCCAAAGGAAATTTTTTGGCACAGTTTGCTTCCAAGAAGGTGTTGTGTTTTATAACTTCTGAAACGAACGTTTTATTTTTCAAACACCTCAGTGTAGTTCATCTATCCATGGAAGGAATGCCTGTATTTTAGAGTTTTCATCACTCAGCTTTGATTTTCCCCTGTGTGAAGTGAAGAACTATGGATAGGTCACTCCCTCTTCCATGTTTAAAGAGTGTACAGTGGTGGCACTGGTATGATTAACCTCTGCCCTCTCAGAAAACAGAAGGCCTTTCCACATCACATTTTTGCCACTACAGTTATACAGAAATGTTTTATATTTTTTGTGTGTGCTTGTGTGCATGACACTTAGCTGTGTCATTGCTCAGCTCTTCTCTCTGCCTCTTTCAGTGGGTATTTGATGTGGTGGCGGAAGAACACCAGTTTTCTTGTGTCTGTGACCACTGATGCAGGGATATTGCTCCTTGGGAAATTAGGCAGAGCTAAGATACAGCAGACCTGTATTCTTTTTCTTCTCCATCTAAGGAAGGAAAGAGCACTTGATGCCCTTATGTAGCACCTTAGCAAGGGGAAGCACAAACTTCCATCTACATTCAACTCAAGATTAACAGCCATTTTTCACTGTTTCTTGCTGAAGTTAGTTCCTCATTCCTGTACTTCCCAGCACGTACAAGACATCTTTTATTTCTGAGGAAACTAAACGGATTGTACAATATAACTTTTAATACAATTAAAGGAGAAACCCCAGCACATGTTATATACAAAATACCTGCGATAAACAGCAGCTCACCTGGTAGAAAGACCCAGATATTAAGCTGAAAAGGTCTCATGGAAACCATTTGTGTGCAATTCACCGAATACAGCATAAAGCAATTGAAAACATGATTCATAATATAAGTGCTTAAGAAAGAAAATAAACCAAGCAGCCTGCCTGTTGAGTATAAAAGCAAACTGATGCTAGGCATATTTGTCAGTGGAGGTTTTGGTTTCCTTTTTAAGGAGTTACTTAAAGTGTTGTGGGAGTCTGGTGTGACACAGAAAGGTTTGGCACTGTGCAAAAGACAAACCCTTCTGCAGAGTGCTGTGCAATCAGTCATCAGTTGGGAGCAGAAGTAGAACATGGGATATTCAGAGGGAAGCCTCTGTTCAGGTGCAGCTGCCAGAGCTTCAGTGTGGTCGGCAAAGTGAAAACATAGAAAATGATTCCAGTGAAAAAGAGGGCATTCAGCCTGCAAGAAGCTACTAGTTCTAGAATAAGCACATGCAGACGGAAGGAAAAGGAAATATGAATGCTATGAGACCACATTTCACTGGCAGCCCTTCCTTGACCAGTGACAAGGTCAGGTTGCCTTTCAGTAGTACTGCTTCCTATGCCACCTCTGTCCCACTTGCAAACAGAATGCACATGTGCAGATAACTTTGGCTCCTTGTTACCCACTGAGGGCTTGGTGGCAAGTTTTGTCTCCTTTTCTCTGTTTTTGACCCCTCAGTAGGAATGTTCTAAAGTTTCCGTTTTGTCTTATAAAAAGGGATAGTGGTAAAAATGCTGATGGGGCAGCAGGTTTCTGCAGAAGTAGAAAGAGAGCAGTGTCTTATTTTTCACTAGTGACTTGCTCTTATCCCTTAGACTCTCACTGCTCAGTGCTCTGTAAACCGCTTTTAGCGCTTTTGTTCCCTCCAGCATTTTTTTCTTCCAATACATACCTACTAGAAAACATTTCTGTGTTGTGTCCTTGCAAGATAAACAGCTCAAGCAACAAAATACCCCGCAAAGATGGTGGCATGATACTTTCAGACTTTGGCATACCCTGCTAACTACGTACATGGATGAAGCAATAAGGTAATGGGTACAACTTGCAGTAGGACAGAACAAAAAGGAAAAACAAAACAAGCCCACTATATTCAGAGCAGGGTTAAGTCAGTATGCATAGATGCTTAGGAAACTTGGTGGTGCTTGGGATTTTTTTCCACTCTTTTCCCCTCAAAATGAGAAACCGCATTTTCCTACACAGTAGGCAAGAATATCACCCAAGTTAGATGAGTCTTATCCAGCGCTAGCATCCTGGCTGAGAAGAGAGAATGCTGACAGAAGGCAGCAGCATTCAAAGCAAAGTAAATCCCTGTGTCACCATGAGAGACTCCCCCCAAAAATGGAGAACCTACTCTAACAAGTATTCCTAGGCAAACGTACAAACAAAGGATTTAGGAAGCAAGGCCCTGACTTAAATTTCATTACTGTTGGTACACGCAAGTTAACCGCTCTTTGTTACAGAAATTTAAATGGGGCTTTATGACAAGCACGAGTAGGAAGAAATGCTTATATAGCTTGTGTATGTGCGTGCACATGCATGTGCACACACCCACTTGTTCACAAGCACCACCACAATTAGCAGGCTGGCCTGTGTGAGGTATGCCCCTGTGTCTGAGAGGTGCAATGGAGGAACTGTGTCTGGGTACCCAGGTTGGCAAGGCCATCCTTTCAAGAGAGAAAAGGTTATGAGAACTTCTGCCACTGCTGTACATAAGCAGTATTTGCTGTCAGTATATGTCGTTCCCTACAAAGTCTCAGTGAAAACAAGCAGGAGGCGTGTATTATTTCCACCTGGAGGCACTTTTTCCTGAGGTGTGTGCATTACTGCCTCTTTAGGGGAGAAGAGATATCACATCACCTATCTGTAACCATCAAGCCTAAGTCCAAACTTGGCTCACACTGAACAGCACTGGCAGATACCGATATGAGGCTGAATGTAAAAGTAGTTTTGGCTGCTTCAAGTTGCACCATGGAGGCATGGACTCCACATATGTTGGGGTCTGGGGGCAGTTGTGCATTGCTAGAGGGGTGGGTGGACACGGGCTACCTGCCAGGTCTCTGTAGGGCCCCTGATTCCCGTAGAGACAGCATCAGAGTATCCCGAGCACTTGAGCTGGCATGCTGGAGGAGCACAACGCTGAAGATGTTCTTCTAACCTGCTGTAGGAACATGGAGGGTCCTCCGAGTTGGAATTCCAGCAAATCCTTTGTATCAAGACCACCTCATAGCTTCTGTGGCATAGATGGGTATTCATATTCATTCACACAAGATTATGTTGTCAGTCTTCTTGAGAAGATTTTTCTACTGCTCTCATCCCCTTTCAGAGAGCCTAAGGGTCAACGCCAATAAGCATTGCTGTAGAGAACAGTGGGGACTGCAGTGCAGAATACACAGGATAGGAAACCTGAGGGAGACAGAAAAAGAGACTTTACTGATTTTTTTCCCTTTCGTAATTCTAAATCTAAGTCAGAATGTGGCAGATCCGAGACAAGCACGGATCACCTGCAATAGTCCACAAGAGGGCTCCTATTATGGTAAAAATGGCTGTGCAGAGGTACTTCAAGGCATGCACTGCAGTGAGCTACTGGCTCAGCACTTGCTTAGTGTGAAAACCTTTGGACCATACAGAGGTGCCATCCCCCTGTGAAGAGAGGATGACTAATGAATGTACTGTCTTACTTAAGCAGCAATAGGACATGGCTCAGTGCATCATAAAGTTACAAGATCACAGACTGCCACTAAGCAAGCAGTACATTGTCCTACTGTACAGCTTTCAGCCCTATGCACAAACAGCAGCTGTTCCAGGCACTGGAGTTTGGAAATACCAACTGCTTACAAAAAAAAAAAAAAAAAAGCCTGGAAAACTTTAACAAAAAAAGAGGAATGTGGCAGAATGGATTTATCCAGTAGGTGAACTCCCACCAGTGAACAGTACTCACAAAAGCCCCCGGAATTCATGCTAACCAAGGTTTTAGTATCTGTTCCAGATAGGGCCTTCCCCAGAGGAAAATATGAGTGGGTGGTCAAGTTTGGAAATGAGAAAAGTGGCTTGAATGATAGTTTCCCCTTCTTTCCGCCTCAAAAATTCTAAACCTTCAGATTTCTGCAACGCAGCTTGAAAAAATTTCATGACTTTTAGGACTATGTAACTTATTCTGTGCTATCACGCTAGCAGTTCAGCATGCTCTGGTAAGACCAGGAAAATACAAACACCTGGATGGATAATGAGACAAGAAATAACTGTTAGCTGTTAATCTTTCCTTAAGTCTCCTGACTTGGAAAGCCTCCTGTCTTTGGAGGACACAGCTCCGAACATTTCAGCTTTCAAGCTAAAATGCATATCATGCTTCAAAGTCATAAACTCTTGAGAAGCCAGACCCTTTCCCAGCCATTCCTACACCATCCTTTCCAACACCTCATATCAAGAGTAACTTTTTAAAATGCAGGTGTTTCCTGCACAGGACTTAAAGAAGAAATTTTTTCTTCTACCCATTCCTCCAGGTGCTGAAGGGAATGGAGACAGGTCAGAAGTGGGCTGGTATTGGTAATCTTGTTGGGAAAGGCAGAGTTGTTACCATTTGGTTCACTTCTTCACCAATTATTGGGTCAATCCTTCATTTATATGATTGCAGATGTTCCCATGTTTATGCATCAGATAAGGCACATGGCTTGCAGGCCATCAGTCAGAAGCAGCCTCTAGGAGATGAGGCCACATGTGAGACTAGTTGGCGATGAGTTACTTGCAGATGAGTCCAGTAGGACAGAAACTAAAAGAAGGCCCAGTTCGTACTGGAAAGCCTATAAAATGAGGGGCTCTTTAAGTGGCAGGGGATGTCACTGCAGATCCCAGTAGATGGATATCCTTGCTCCAACTCACCCTTCAGATATTAGCCTGTGTCCTTATATAGTTTCAGAGGAGTCAAATCTGTTAAATGTTCATTTCCTTTCTTCTCACCCCCTTCACTCCCACCTGGTCACTAGAAATGACTTAATTACAGAAGTAAATGCCATAAAAACTTGTGTACAATCTGCACAGGGTCCATTCAATGGAGAAAAGGCCATAGAAGCCTGGGAAATTAGGTCCTGTAACATATTTCACTGGATTAATTTCTAGAAATTTAAAATAACCTTAAGAAAGCAATGCCCCACAAGCAATACAAACCTCATCCCATGCCTGGGAAATATCAAGGGCCTGAGTTGGTGTAATGCTATAATGTGATGGAAAGCACAACAATGATAGTGGAACAGCAAAATCCTAGGCTGCAGCAAGTAGTGAGGATATGCTCTGTGCAGCAGCAATGGATGCATAAGCAAAGGAAAAAAAAAAAATCTGATTCCCCTTGGAAGGCCTCAGGCAGGCAGGGATCTCTTAATCCCTTAAATGAGGTCTGTGAGGGAATGGATCCTGGCTCCACCCCTTCCAGTCACTCAGGTGCATTGCTTGCACCTGAGCTCCCCTGGGTTGGCCCTGCCTTCCCACCAGGTACTCAATCACTGCTTCAGGCTGTGACTCAGCATTTCCACTACAGTTGGCAATAGAGCCCTACTGCTTCTATGCTAAGGGATGGTGCATACTCCTATCAAAAGCCATACATGATTTTGAGAGCTAGCATTGCACTAGAATCTGAGCTCAGAGGCTATTTTGCCAAGAGAGGTGTGGTGCAATAAAGTACCTGCAAAAGTGATCTGGTCATAGGGATGACATTTCACATGTCACTTTACAGCTGTGGGGTGAGTTCATAATTTCTTTTACATCTTCTGCTGAAGCTTGATTCTTAGAACAGTGGGAACAGGCTGAAAGAGAAGATCCCTCGTTAGTGCTTGGAGCTCCAGAATATCTGAAAGTGCTTGATTCAAATGCCTTCTTCAACAAAATAAATCATAACTGAGAGTGAGAAGAGTAGAGAGAAGAAAATCTCAGACAGGAAAGAAAAAAGTCTTTTAGATCTAGTTACTTCTATTTTTCCTTGGTGAGACTCATCCCTGTAGTATATCTGAACATGACTAGCCCATAGCCATAGTCTGACCTGGTCCATCTTACACAGACGTTATCTGTGTAGTGTCATATGGATAAAACTGTACTCAGTTAACTGCAGGGAGTTAGAACTTCAGCCTGACACAAAGACAAGCGACCAACCACATGCTGAGATAAAGTCAGCAGGGAAATAATGGTAGAAGTTACCTGTCACTACATGCAGCTTACCAACTGAGTGCCAACAGTGCTGTTAACATAAGGAACCAACAAACCAACCCTCTGAGGTCTCTGAGAAACATCTGCATCTCAGCATCTAAGATTGGCTTTTGTTTTTATAATTCAAGCTGGATCCCTGTCCTACTTCAGTAAATTGTAATTGCACAGACTATTAAACACTGTGTTTTTGGTTAAATTAATTGGAAGGATGAAAAAATGCCCAGAGAGTTTTCATTCTTAAATTACTATGAAGACAAGCTGGTTAGGCTGTGAGCTCCTCAAATTAGGGAATGTGAACCTCAACAAAGCACCTACTTGTTTTGGTCACCACAACAATCACACATCTGAGAACCCTTATTTCCGTTTTGCTCTATCTTTTCTATTTCCTCCCACACTTCAGCTACTTGAAGCATGGCTTTTTGAGCTCAGAAATGACTGAGCTTGGTCCAGCTTTCCCTATGCAAGAGCAACAGAAATACTTTCAGACGTATTCTGAGTTCCCGCAGTATCTCTTGAGTGGTGATCTGCAGCAACACCAGCAGGCAGCACGTGAAAGACAGGCATTTCCCTTCCCAGGCAGGTGGTAACACACAGCAGCACCAAAGCGTACAAACTGGGAAGTTGGTTTGAAATGCCAGCTTCGGTTCCCTACAGCTTACATCCAGTCTGCAAAGTGACTGTACAAAGCAGCACCACCTGACTCAGCAGATCCACTCCATGTGCATATTAGGAAAATGGGACTCAAAGGGAAATTCCCTTTTATGCAGCTAAGCCCATTGCTGGTGCAGGTGATCCCATTCTACCACACTGGCATGCTTTTTACATCTTAAGAGCAATCTGGTATCAATAGAAAAGGTATCTGAGAATGCTCCAGAATCTTACTCCTCTAATGCTAGGGAACCTTTTAGTTTCCAAGCCTGCATTCGTTTAGAGAAAGATCTTTGAGTTACACTTGTCTTTTTCCCATAAATTAGAAGCTCATTACCCATGCAGCTAACAGCACAGGCTGCTTGGTCATGACATTCATATTTTCAAACAGGTTACTATTCTCCCATCAGCACAGCTCTAAGGTACAACAGGGAATAGCCAGCACTAGTGTCACAGAGGAACGTGAGTGGAAAATGAAGAAATGCACAGGTGTTGCTAAGGGTCTCTGCCTTCCCCAGGTGCTTCCTTTCTTGGTGATAAAGCACAGAGGGGTAATCAGCCCAGCCTAATGCAATGGTCACATAGTTTTTTCAAAAGGCTGTGGTTGGTTAGGAGGGGAAGAAACACACTAATGCTACCTCCTTATTCTGACTTGCAAGTGACCTTGCTCAGAATTGAAATACAGGTAACAGGAGATATGAGGATGATGAGCTCACAAGTGTTCTTGAGTGAGCCAAGTCCCTACTGCCTAACAAATGAACCTGTTTCCAACGGGGGATACCACTGTGACCATGATGAGCTAATATGCTCAGCCTGGTGGCTTTTGGTCTAAGTGTGCTGAACACAGAGAACTCTCAGTTTGTCTTCAGCCTTCACTTCTCCAGCAACCTGACAGACCTTGATTGGGTGATATTTATAACATGTTGCAAGGCCTGTTGTCTTTCTGTAGCGCTGCTTTACCACGCTACCAACAGGGTGCAGAGAGGACATAAATTGCTGTTGACTTTCAGTACGGGCTGAAGCCTTTGTAAATCCATTAGATTTAGATGCCCACATCTTCGGGGGCTTTCTTGTTGGCCAGCTTAGACACGAGTAGAAGCAGCAGCTACCTGATGAGATCTAGTGAGTTGCCACCTAACCTGAGGTCCTCTTTACAATCACAAAACTTGTTGACATGTCTGAATTACTAAGACTTCATAGCACTGGACACTTTTGCTCATTTGGGACCAACAAAGACAAATACATGTATCCTGATGACTGAGATTTTTCTAAAAGTTCTCAAATTGCAGTGCTCAAGTCTATTCTGTAGCCCTAACACTATACATTCTTGTAATATTGGCTCTGTGACTTTTCTGAGAGGTTGTCCAAGTAGGGTGTATAGACAGATCTCATTTTGAAGCTGTTAGTGCTCAGCTGTGTTGATGATGTTCACAAAGATTCTTGACATCTTCAAGCATCCTAATGCATAAAAATGGACCTCTCAACCTTTCTGAATACAACTCCGTTCTTTGGAAATAGTCTGACCTTCTTTCAAAACTCCTAAGACAATTAGAGTCTCAACCTGGAACCCTAGTGCTGTGTGCACACAAAATAGAGGAAAGTCCTGAGCCAGACTTAGATTTTGTGACAGTAGATGCTGCATGAAAAAAAAAAAAGGAAATGAGAAGAAGGTACAAAAATACTTAGTGTATCAGTATAGTTTCTATAAATTTTATATAGTTTTATATATAAATATATGTAAAATATATATTTTACATAGTTAATCCATTAAGCAGTAAGGAACTGTTTCTGGAAAAAGGAGCTTTACTTACCATGTCTTGGAAAGTATTTTGCTGCTAGGCTGACAGCCAAAAGGAAGGTGATAATGATGATAGTTGAAGCAGTAATGACATTGTAGGATGGAAGTGCAGCAGAGACAATGCAGTCATTTGCTTTTGCTGAGACAGAAGAAATAAAGCGTAAGTATAGGGCCCAACAATATTTTGTCATTTTCATGCAATAGCAGGTATGTCAATTATGGTGGTTCAGGCCAAATTCTAACTGGGATATTCAGCCTGAAAATACACCTGTTCAGTAAGCAAACAGACAATGCTGGCACCTAATCAATAGAAGCTCTTTATTCCCCCTTCCTGTGCCATGTACTGAAATTTTTGTCACATCCACAGAATCCAAAATGCTGGATCTCTGTCCAGAATGGGAGCAAGACAGACTTATAAGTACTTCTTAAAGCAACTGGTTAGTCTTAGTGGAAAAGGCTGAGCATTTCCAGAAAACTTCCATTCTCAAATACATTCCACAGTTTTCCTTACTGTTTTCTTACTGTTCTATCTAGATTTATTTATTTAGTTGATTTTCACTACTGGGTATGACTATTCTGCCACTTGGAAATATGAGTAGATAAGAGACCATGTATATGGTACAGGACAACCCTAATTTAAGAGAAAGGACACACTGGGTATCTGTTCATATGTCTTCAGATTTTCATCATCTACATTTAGCACAATTAAGCACCATCCAGCTTCTAAGATGCTATTTTGACTTGCTGTACAATCTGGCCTCACATGTCCCCCAATGCAGAGTTTGTCTCCTGTGTTTATCAGAAGCTGTGTTCTGTCCAGAAGTACACATGCATGAAAGACTTTTTTAGAGGACTATTTTCACTTTGCCAAAGCGGGAGTGATTGCACTTCTTAAAAGTCAAAAGGCAAGGGCTTTGTGACTGCGTCCTCGTTGTTGATCTCTAGGGAGATTACACACTATGCCCAGCAATAACCAATATTCATGAAGCACTGGCTTCCAGCATTTGTCCTGAAACTGAATGGCACTTCTCCTCACAACCCCCTTTGATTTTAGAAAGGCTGATAAATAAAGTACCTTGATGAATGAGGTACAATTCCTGGGAAACATAGCACTTTTCTAGCTTCCCTTGAAGATGTCTGCATCTCTACAGTGAAAACTTCAGACCTAGAGACATATTTTAAAATACTTCTTCTTTGGCAATAAGAGAGCCAAAAGGATTTTTTTTTTTTTAATAATTTTTTTTTGCAAATCCCTTTCTGCTGCAAAACATGTAAACTGTAGTCTGCTGCCTTGCCTCATGCTGCTTCCACCTGTCCCTCACACTTTTCAAGGGGCAGACTTAGCTATTACATTATCACTTCTAGGCCAAACACAGCGATGGAATTTTATCTGTTTGAGTTAACTCTGTATTAAATGTGTACGAAAGCAGTATTTTGTCTAGCCCCCCAGCTAACATCTTCTGTCACTGAAGCAGGAACAAACATGCTTATGAAGTGAAGAAGTTCTTTGCAATCGCAACCTTTGAGGCACACACATTTCTCAAGTCCCTCCATTCAAATATCAGGCCTGTGTCACACTACTGGCAGTGAGACCATACTGGTACAGAAGAACACTGAGTGGTGGCAGCCCCAACCTGTGAGAGCCAGTGGGGCTGACACCGCCTGATCACAGCAGGATCCAATTGCCCTGTCAACCCAGCTGTGATTCACTATGGAGCAATGGGAAGCCTAAGCCATCTGCTCATTCATCAGTCAGTGATGTAACCCACCTCTCCACCTTCCCCCTGCCCTCCCCCCTTCAACTTAAGAGCCATTGAACTATCTTGGTGGACTGCTGATGGAATCACTGGGTCATCCTCATATGACCAGATATGCAGAGACCTATAACTTCCTCATAGAGGCAAGGTTCAACACAATACTTCTGTAATACAAACTACAAGGGCTGTTCCAAAAATAATACCTCCTACTTTTGGATGTTGGCCCACAACATCATGCAACAGATGGCAGCAGAGAGGCAGTCTGAGACAATAGCATCTGACATGGAGGAGCATTTGAAGCAAAGGTGTGTCATGTAATTCCTCCATGTAGAAAAAGTTGCAGCCATTGATGAATGTCAATGCTTGCTGAACATTTATGGAGACCAAACCATACGCAAACACAAAGGAGGTGGTGGGTGGTTCATTTCAGCAATTCTGCTGGTCATAGCAGCTGCGAAACAGAAGGCCATCTCTACTGGTGCAGATTTTTATGGACATGGCATGCCAGTTCTTGGTCTCCACTGGCAACAATGCATAACTAATAGCGATGACTATGCTGAAAAAATAGTGTTTTGTAGAGCAAATCCTCAGCTATTGATTAGTGTTATTGTGCTCTTTGTATTTGTTGTAGCTTCCACAGAAAGAAATAGGAGGTATTATTTTTGGAGCAACCTACATAGTATGAAAACCTACCTAGAAGCAAGCTGGTGGACCTGAGTAAGCCATCATATTCAACGAAGCAAGTGAAGTTGATATTTTTGGACACGTTGAGCCATAGTGTGCCAGTGACATTGTATGGGCTGAGGCTGGACTCGGACTCCCAGGTGGTATTCAGCACCACAGACATGTTGTTGAGGACTCCATAGATTTTGGGTTTGGGGAAACCTCCATGAGAAGAACATCTTACCACCATTTCTGTTGATTCACATGAACTAGCAGTTACTTCTTTTTCTACATTCGGCTTGCTGAAGTCAGCTGAAGAAAGAAAGATTTAGAAAACATTTAGAAACCCATGGTCAAAGCAAAGAGCCTCTCAAGATGTCCCTTGACTATCATAATCTGTTCGGCCTTTCTTATGCCTTGCATTCTCCCTCCAGCCGTGGCATCTTTTTCTGTAGACTATAGAAAATCATTTATCATTTATTTCTGATAAAACAGAAAGGAGGTTTTCTGGAAGGCATGAACTTAGAGTATGTGGTGAGGAAGAGATTCATCACTGCGGATTTTTCATGTGGCTAACTTCTCAGCCCTCAGCAATACTCCTCTCCATGGCTAGAGAGGGTTCTGACAGTCCAGTTCCCTATTTTCTTTTTGGTTCCCATAAAGACAACAGAATGTGACTCCTTGCACAGATGTCCATCATTCATTCACTTGGGTCAGCAAGCAGTGGCCAGATCTCAGGAGCTTGGGAATATTTTTGTGAGGAATTTCATTCAAGGGGGAGGGGGGGAAGAATGTTCCTTCACCACTTGTTTGGAGGATTTCTGGAACTCTCTGCTGCTAAAGGTATTCAAATGTATATATAAATATATATGTGCATCTTACCAGTATCTCTGCTTTTGGCAGAAACCAACCACCACAAAAACAGTGGTGCAAATGGAAAATCATGTCAATGGAACTTTTTGTAGCCTCCAAGAACAGATTCAGATTCATTTTGAGCAACTTGGATGAGGAACTTGAGTGGTTTCTTTGAGGTAAAAAGCCTCAAATCTTCAGCTAAGCTCAGCCTTGGGTTGTGGAGCTGCTGTGCAGCCCATGTGCAGGCCAGCCCCCAGGAAGTGCTGCTGTGGCACAGAGGACCCTTATAGGGGGCTTAATGCACACTCCAGCTCTCTTTCAGGCATCATGGTGAAAGTCTCTCTGCTACACTACGCTGAAAGCTTCAGGGAATATCCCTCCTCCCTAGAGGTTGGCACTAGAAAGCCTCACATGTGGGGAGGCAACCCACCTACCAGTAACAAAGAGGGTCACGGGCTCTCCACACAAAAGATGAGATCCAGGTTTGTCCGGTGAAGACTGAAGACTCTGAACAATACATTGGTAAGGACCACTGTCCAGGATTTCCACACTGGAGATCCACAGGGTGAGGTTCTCCAAGTCCAACTTTGTCCGGTTGACATAGCGTGAATGCTCAAAGATCTTTTCCCCCCCTGAGTAGGCCAGCACCACATCCGTAACGTTCATCTGCCAATACACCCGGTAGTTTTGCAGGCTCTCTGAGCTGGGAATTTTGTAACAACAAGGCAGGCCGACTTTTTCCCCTGCTTTGCTTTTGACCACTTTCTTCTCCTGCGCACAGCCTGTTGAGGGGCAAACAAAAGGCACTGAGACAGTGGTACAGCATTAAGCCAAGGCTTGCTGCACAGAGCTCACCTATTTCAGCTCTGTCTGCACCCATTAACATATTTCAGCCCTCCATCTGCTGAGTAGTCTAGGTCTTCAGCTCTGCACTGAGGGGAGGACTGTCTTGCAAATGTTTTTCATGTGATGCTCCAGTCCTTCTTAAGACTTAGAGCATACAATTGTTTCAATGTTAATTACTGAAGGCAAAAGCAGGAGACTTGCCTCCTTGGACAGAAATTGTTGTGGCACCTTGAAAACCACACTCTGGAGTAAAGAACTGCCATGACAGCCATAGGAAGGGATAAAAAAAAAAGCAAACAAACAACACGTTGCCCATCTGCTATCTCCTCTGCTCAGTGTTTGGGAAGTCCGTGTCCTAACTCTCTTGCATTCCCAGCTTCCAGACAGGGCCACAGTAGATAAATAGATTGTGGGTTTTGATTTGTGTTTTTGTTTTTTTATTTTAAAACAAACAAAAAAAACAACCATCTTAAGATCCCAGAAACAGCCCTGCAGTAATAAATAGCAGAAAAAGCCACATTTTCATCACTGTATTAGCACAGCATTCACAAATAACCAGTTTCACATAACGTAGCTAAAACAAATTTGTATTTTTGAAAACCTGTGGGCCCCCCCCTTAAGCCCCCTTTTGAATTACATGCAAACCAGGACAGACATTCCTAAACTGCCCATGCCTGTGTGTCATATCTCAGCACACAGGTGTGTGCTTACGATAGCAATCTAGGACCCTTGCAAGGGGGAAGTTATAACAACTTTGACCTGCTCAGCACTGCTTTACAGCTTTCCTACTTCTGTTCCTCTTTCCAGAGGGCGGGTACTCACCAGTGCCAGGAGCATAAGTACAAGGGTGCAGCCCAGCCAGAAGCTTCTGCCAACACAGCACTGATACGCAACCCTGTGCTGCAGCAAAGCCAGGGCAGACATATCTGCTTTTTCCTGGTTCTGTACAGCTTCTGGGATGATGCTCATCCTCTACACACCCCTGTTCAGAAGATCGGGTTGTTTCATATTTGTCCTGCTTGCCTTAGCCTCATGCTGTTGGCACTTACCTCCAGGATTCAGAGATAACTCTCAGATACCAGGGATACCAACCTGGGTATCCCACCATAGCAACCAGCAGCTATATGACATGCTGACTCATGCCTGGTGGGCCTGAGGATGTGCTCTGAAAGCCTCCAGGTGTTGGGGAGAGACAGGCAGTACCCCAACACATTCTAATTTTGGGTAGTGTAACACTACAATGGAACAGAAAGCACAACAATAACAGCAGGGTGGCTGCAGCAAGTGAGGAGAAGCCCAAATGCAGCAGCAGGGGACACAAAAACAAAGGAAAAACGTTGCTCACTCACAGAAGACCTCAGGTAGACAGGGATCTCCAGGTGAGACTCTTATTTCCACTGCCAACCCTTAAATGAGGTCTGAGAAGGGGTGGATCCTGGGTCCACCCTTTCCAGTCACTCAGCTGCATTGCTTGGCCCTGCCTTCCCACCAGGTGCTCAGTCACTGTTTCAAACCATGACTTAGCATTTCTGCAACAGGTAGCATTGTGCGTTGCATGCTGATGTTTAGCAGTCTCAAGGCCAGAAACTAAAATGACCTTTCACCCTGTCCTGCCTGCATGCTTTACATCAGACCTGTTGGAAATGGAATAGGATGTTTTAATACCCATTACAAAAAGTTGAACACGAAGCTAAATAAATAAATTCTCATTGAGCTGTTTCCCTCCCCCACTCAACCACCTCATCGATCTTCCAAAGGGAAAGGTCTGACACGCAGACACAATTTTCCCCACTACCTGTACTTCCTCTTATGAAGAGTGCAGACCAGAGCCACCAGGCAGGGGCAGACCAGGAACCCACTCATCCCACTGACCTGTTTCAGCCCACTGATCTGTGTCTGCTCACTGACCTGTGTCGTCCCACTCAGCCCACTGGCCTGTGGCAGCCAGTCAGTGGCAGAAAATGGTAGAAAAAGCCATTCTTGCTCAGGCCAAGGTGTGACACACCCAGCTAAGATTTGGCAGTCACAAGTTGACAGACTTCTTGACATCAGCAGCTTAGTCACTACTGATGTAGCTATCTTTTGTGAGCAGTCCCTGCCCTTTGGGAATGCACACATATCTTTGGCTTCCATAGCATCCCATGGCAGTGAGTTGCATGGTTTGATTTCATACTGTGTGAAAAAGCACTTGTTTCCATTTGCCTTCCAAGTGACCTATTCTGGGCTGTGATTCTTGAATTTCCTCCCACTGCTTTCTGCATGCATTGCGTGTGGGTCTGCTTGTCTTTTTCCTCAACCACATCGTTGCTTTTTTGTACAGGTCAGCTCTTATGCTGACAAGACCTCCAAGAGCAGCCAGCAAAACTTTGGGATCGTGGATCCTGAAAATGACAATGCAGTTGAGTATGGATTTATTTTCTATTTCCTTTTGCAGCAACAGGGGAAGAGTAGGCGTACAGAAAATGTCAGTGTGACGGCACATCATGGGTTGCATGAGGTTCTCTGTGCCTTGCCCCTAAGAGTCTCCTTTGCCGCCAAAAGGAGAACAAAAACCTCCGTGACAGTACATATACTAGGGCTGGAAACTCCTGCTGATGTCACATCTACCCTTACAAGGCGCTGCAGCCTTGAAACTGCAACCTGAATGCTGAGGGCCTGCAGGAATCAAAGTCCATGAAGAGTCATTCAGCCCCACAAAAGTCCCCTTTCACTTTAAAGGTGAACTGCAAAGCAAAAATGAAAACTCAGTTCTGTCCCATTTCTGTGTTGAATGCTCTCCGTAGCCAGGCTGTGAGGGAGGCATCCGCCACGGAAATAATTTTTAATTACTTTTCTAGAAAAAGAAATAAGCCACCCTCCTGCCTTTGGTGAAGCCCACCCTCTCCCTCACTGTGTGCTTGTGTTGCTCCCTTGCTGGCAGCCTGCAGTGTGCGGCCGATGCTGACCCTTTTCCCCAGGCAGAGAAGATGCTCCATTCAAACTGCTGCTGTGCTGCAGCTGCCTCCAAAGCAAGGCTAATTGGAACAGAAAAGTGAGCTTAGAGGAAAGGCATTGGTTTTGTATGCTCTGAGAATCAGAAAGCAAGAAGGCCATTGGGTCTTTAACCAACATCTTTAGTCTTTCACAAAATCTTCAGCAAACCCACATAGAGGGAAAGACCCTGCCTGGTGAGCCTGGAAACCTTTGCTCCTCTGGAGGCAGCACATCAGACAGCGCATCTGCACATTTCTTGAGCTGGCACTTCTGCAGAAAGCTCTCAGGCAAACTGTCAGGCATATATATTAGCTTGAACATCCAGAAATTTCAAAAAACTGAATATCTAAGGGGCTAAACACTCCCCATTGGTCTTTACCCAGTTGATTTTACAGGTGATGGATCTGAATCTTTCAAAGATTTCCATAGCAAATGTCCTGTGCAACGCATGAATACTTTAAGCTAGGGAGGAATACTTTAAGCTAAACCAGCCGCTCTGCAGTGCTCCAGCAAAGCAAAGCAGCTGCTGTCTGTGTTTGGTTAGCTCCTGGCACAGTGACCTCCTAACAGGTCACGTTCAGTCACTCACCCCAGATGTGGTGGGAGAGCAGAGAACTCCTTTGTATTCTGAAGAAAACCTGCCTCCAGCTTCATTTGGCTGCGGCTCCATTCAGTCTCATTTCCTCCTACATGCTCGCACTTGTCAGTGTGCCACAGCAACAAGAGGAGACGATTATTCCTAGTTCACACTGATGTCATGGCAGGCACAAGAAAGGGAGAGTGTTGGAAGAGGTTTCCTAAATGTTTGGCTCTGCTTGCTTTTGCAGTGTAACAGCAGTGTGAGCTGTGCTCACCATCTCTGTGTGCCTCCGTCTTCACAGCCCTTAGAGAATAAATCCTTGAAATCATGTGGTTCAGGCTGTGAAAACCAGAGATGTTCCTGCATCTACAGGCATTTCAGTCTCTCCTTCCATGCCATGAAAGCATCCAGAACGGCACAGGAGGTCATGCTGTAACTGAGTCACTGCTCTGTCATAAACCTGGCTTTAATGAGAAGGAAACTCTGTGGATCACAAAAACTTCCATGATCTGTGATTAGTGACTGAGAAGGAGAAGGAGAATCTGAAATGCTTTGTTGAAGGCGCTCAGAGCAGCACAAGGGCCACGACAGCCAACCAGTCCTTCTCCCTTTGTTCCTGCTCTCTCCGGCCCTGTCTGGGAACTTCTTGAGATAAAAATCTGCCACTCTCTGAGTCACGCCAGCCCTGAGCTGGGACAAGCCCACCGCCTGGGTATGTCCAGTCTGCTTTGCTTATGAGATGAGTAAGACCGCAACTCCTCTCACTGCAACTTAGTTGGCACATGTCTAACCTCGGCACTAGCCAGGCCACCTCTGGGCGAGGGGCTGCAAAAGTACTTGGGAGATGATGGCGTTGACTGAATAGTTTCTAGACATCTCCCCCTTTCTTTCAGAGTCCTCCACATGAGTGTTTCATGGAAGGAGGGGAAGGGTGGAGGGCATGGTCATGTGTTGTTGGTGTGCATCGGAAAGGACACTGGCGGTGGGGACAGAAGGACATTTCTGACTTGGGGAAAGAAGCAGAGGGAAGTCTGTCTGAGCCTTCCCCTTCTCCATTCCCAGCACTGGGAGTGGGTGACCCAGCCAGAGGAAAAGGCAGGGGAAACACTGAATCTGGATGCCCGCAGAAGATTTGCATGTTTTAGTTCCTTTTGAGATGAAATTCCTGCAACTGGCTGAGCACTCTTATGATTCCCAAGTTCCAGCAGAAACTAGATGTGGCAGTTGTGTAAGACAGGCCTTTGGGGGGGATTTGTAGCACACAAAGACAAAAATAAACTTGCTAATTTTTTTCCCCAGAGACCGTGTCCCTCGCTGACTGTACCACTCTGTATTCCTCTGTATTTATCCCCCAGCTGGAGATGCCCTCAGATCATTCTATAGACTCTTCCCATACTGCCACTATAAATACTGCTGTCTTCACAGCAAAGCTTTGCGGTCGAGGTCTCCCTACTGCCGAAGGCCCTGGTTCCTTCAGTGTTCACTAAACCTCACTGCCTCACACGCTCCCCATGTAGCCAGCCCCTCTTGAGGCTAACAGGAGGTGAAAGTGCCCAGCAACCACAAAAAACAAGCAGTATACCTTTCACGTAAGCCTGCTCAGAATTAGAAATAATTTTTTATTTTTTCTGAACTACCTGTCCACAGCCACAGCACCATTTACCTGTGCAGGTAAGCCCTGTCTATTGGGCACATACAGCTACACTGCAGGGTCCCTGCCACAGACAGAGCAGCAGTGTGCAGGTGCCCCTTATACCATACGGTAGCATTTGGGGCTAACCAAGGCACGGGCATCTTTAGAGCACAGCGTAGCTGGAGGTGCCACCCAGCACTCAGCACTTTTATTTTTAGCCAGGCAGTCCCCCGGGACTAATGATGTTTTAAAAGCATAACAGTGAAAAAGCAGAAGCAAAGCTCGTGGCATTTCTGTGTTGGGAAAGATTTACATACTCTCAGACGACCTGAGAGCGGTGCCTGTCCAAGGGGACAGAATGGCCACAATCAAACATACAGTTCATATCCACAAAAAGAAAGCTGACTTCTTAAGTGAGTCTAATGTGTTTGCCTTGCCACATCATCATGAAGAACAATATGTTTAAGGCATGAAGGTAAGAAACACAATTAGAAAGGAAGGAGGAGTTCCCCGAGCATGGGAGTTCTACTCCAGCCTGGCCTCCAGCTGCAACTGGATGACAAACTTGCCCTAATCTCACAGCCTTCTCACACAGAAAAAGGAAACCTTGCTCCCCCTTCCCTTCCAGCCCCATGTATTTGCACAGCTTTCTCTTAAGGGATCCCTAGAGGCTGGGTCAGTGTGACTTCTTGGCATGAAACAAGTGGGAAAAAGAAGACTTTCTGGCTGACTGGGAGCTGGATGAGTTCACCCCATGGTCAGAGAAGGGCCAGAGATAGCATCAGCGAGGGGACAGGGGCAGGATTTATGTCAGGACACCTATGCCACCCTGACCACGCTGCAGCTCAAGGCAGCAGTGAGCTGGAGCGGTGTGAGGGCGTGCAGGGCAGCTTCAGGGTGTAAAAAATTCAGCCCCAAATTTTGCATGTTTAAATGTGGGAATGTCTGACATTCACATCACAAAGAGACTACAAATGCTTCGGTGCTCCAAGAAAAGGAAAAAGTTATTGGCCTCAGAGTGATAACCAGAGTTAATTGGGTTCACTCCGATCTAATTGGACACAACGTGGTTAAAATGTTGGACCTGTGCAAACTCCATGCATGTGTGTTACTATGATTTGACTGTGTAAGAATTTTGCTCGTCTGTTCAATATTTTTTCCTCCCCCAAATAACTGTTTCATTCAGAAAATCCAGAAATAGCACAACGGGATCTATAAAGAAGAACAGGAGCCCTTAGCTGGGTTTCTGTTTCTTCAGGCAGGCTTTACAAGAGGTTTCGTTCTGGATAGATAGGCAGACAGAAAACAGGAGTTCCTCAGTTCTGCTGCTGTAGCTTTTAAACCAAAGACTTTTCTGCATATCTGGAGCCGGAGGAGACAGACACTCATCCAAAAAAAGAAAGACAAAAAAAGCCGAGGACAGCAAGAGCAATAAGACAGAAACTCCATTTGCATCCACTGGTGAAATGGGCAAATCTCGTACACAAAGAAAAATTTCTGGCATCTCCGCCGTGTAATTTGACCTCAGCACAGCCCATGCTGGAGCTGGCACTGCAATTAGGCAGAAAGCACTTGGTGCTCATTACCAGCCCTCCAATATTCAGAGCAGGCCACGAAATAGATAATCTTCCTTAATCTTGGTACTCCTTTCTGAAACCCAGGTCCTCTCTGAGCTCCTTACTTGTGGTAAGAAGTGAAGGGGATTTCCTGAGTGAGTTACTTGTGAGCAAACATTCCTTTGCCATGCTGAGGAAAGTGAATATTCCCCGTTCCCTTCCCCAGCTCTACAATAACTCTGAAAAGCTGTAGGGATTTCCCTCAAAACTTCCCAAAGATTTCATAATTGGGAAGAATCAAAAACTGGACAGTCTCTGGTAGCTGAAAAGATTCCAGGGAAGCCAAAAAGAAATACTCCATGGACCAGACATGGGGTGGCTGGTCCCTGCCATCAGCACCATTTCCAGCTTGGCACACTGGGCAGGGACAGGTCATTCTGGGCTACTTTGAGTGATGTTTTCCCAGTATAACAATCACATACTGAGAAGGAGGACATAGCCATCCTGCAGGCAGTAGGTAGGTGTGAAGGTGCAATGGCAGGCAAAAAACAAGCCCACAGGGATACCAGCAATAGACCATAAATAAATAACTTTGCGCTGTAATCAAGGCTGTAATTGAGGCTGTTCTGCTGCTTTTCCACCGCTCTGAGACAGCAGGGCATTCGTGTGCATCAGCATCTCCAGCAGCAGATGACATTTCAGGAGCAGCTCTAAATTACAGTGGTATTTCAGCAGGTCACCTCAGGTGAACCTCAGAGCAGGAAAATTCAGTTTATATAAATATAGATAGATAGATAGGTATACATAGTTATATGTATATCTCTCTATCTATATCTTTATATACATATATAGATATAGATAGATAGATAGATAAATAGATAGATAGTTATATACATATACCATCAGGTGGGATTAGTTCTGAAGTTGCTGGCCCTTGTGCCCTGCTTAGTGCTGCAGGGAGTCATTGGAAGGGCCATGGCAGCTCCTAGGGCTGCACTGCTGTGCCATGAGAAGGTCAGAAGCTGGTCTCTGCAATCCCTGTGGATTGCCTAGGGGAGGCAGCACTTCCAAGTCCCGGAAAAGATCACATGTGACAGCATACCATGGAGTTCTAAGGATCACCAGTGAAGGAATACTCCTTTTGGGAGAGAAGGGTGGCGGGCTTTGTATGTATGCATACAAAGGGAGAAAGAAAGCACATCAGCTGTGCTGTCCTATCAGCCAGCAACAGGAATTCCACAAACTCACTGTGTGGGAAGGATCTAACAATTGCACCCCAAAAGCTGATTTAATGCTTCCAAAACAGCTTTTTGTCCACTGCCAAATCAAACCCTGCAATTTTATAATCCATCAGGATTAGAAAAGTAACTATTCTCAGCAACAGGGTGACCAAAGTCAATGCAGTTTTGCTTTGTGTCTCCCAGCCCTCTCCCCACACCTTCCAGCTGATTCCCATCCCCTCAGTGCTGCTGTACTGGTACAACCCCTTCCAGATGCTGTTGGCTGGGCATGAGGGGCCCACAGCATCCATGCTATTGCCCTGCCAGCTCTGCCTTCCTGTCAGCAGAGGTGGAAGCCATGCAGGGAGTTCAAAAGTTACAAGCAGGGGTCGAAGAAACGGTTGGAGAGATGGCCAGCAGGATGAACGAGCATTCTTTTAGTGAAGCATATTGAAAAAGTACACTAACCACTAGTACTGCTAGTTTGCTGATACTACCAAACTCGTATTTCTAGCACTGATGATTAGCCTCAGGCTGTATATCTAAGTATTGCTCATCTTTGGACTTGGAATCAGCATCCTTTTTAGTAAACTTACAGGACTGATGAATTGATGTGCTCATTACTACATTAATAGCGTAACACAAACCCAGAAACTCCTAAATTACAGATGGAGAAACAGTTCTGCCCAGGATGAATTATTTGCTGATTGCAGGATGAGCGAAATATGCCCATGCCTGATGTGTGCTTTGCAAGCACAGAAGCCAGGGAAGGAGTGTGGGGAAGACGTGAGAACAGAGAGCTCACAGCGGGGTCCAGAGGCTGCTTTTTCACCAGCTGGCTCCGTGATTTCATCCCTGCTAAATTCTCTGAGTTTTGTTTTAAGATTCTGAGACTGAAAGTCAAAATGAAACCCAACGGAGAGTATCAAATATCTTGCAGTTTCACAACACCACCATGAAAACCTCCTTATTTTGCAGCAGTTGATTTTTAATCGAAGCCCCAATTCAGCCCCGGTTTGCTCCAGAGTTTCATTATGTGCAGTGAAACACCAGGACTGCTGGTAAGCACAGGCTGTGAGCACAAATCCCAGCTCAGGAGTGAGCTTTGCGTGCTTACAAGGTTAGCATTTCACGCATCTCAGAAGAATCAACCCAAACCCCTTGAGGTCTGGGTGATCTGTGGGCTTTCATGACTACTGTGGCCCGTACTGGGGACAGCCATCACGGTCCTCTGACACAGAGCTATGCTGCCTGAGGGACCCCTTGTTGTGCCCTGTCTCTCCACCACAAACTACCAAAGCTACCCAAAAAATGCCAGAAACTGCTTGATCACAGGAGCCCAGAAGCCAGCAGCTTGCTTCTCCCCCCAGACCCAGCATATCGTTTCTTTCCCATGGAGCAAGCTTGTGCCACAAACATCCTTCATCCTCCCACCTCAACAGCAGAAGTTCAGCAGCCAGGAACATTTGTGTCAGCCAGGGAGAGGCTGTAGGAATGCCTCAGCCATCTCTGTCATGACAGAGGAACTCAAGAAGCACAAGCTGGCCCTGACCAAGCCAGCACGCTTCCCTCACAGGGGGACACCACGATGCGGATGCTTCACTTACCCAAAGTAATGCAATAGAGCACGATGAGCCCGAGCCCGAGCCATCTCTTCAGACACCAGCTGGCTGGCACCGGCAGACACCCCATCTTCGTGCAGTGCTGGGCCAGAGCCGGAGCACCCGCAACCTCCTGCCACCTGCTTCCTCCTCAAGAACCCCCAGCACAGGCCTCGCTGAGTCTGCTTCCCTCTCTGTCCCTTTGGGCTTCACCAAGCGAGCGATGCCACCACCTCTGTGCTGGGAAGGAGGCAGGGGCTCAGCACTCGGCGACGGATCACCGCCGAACTCTCCTGGCTGCCTCTGCTGAGCCGTGGGACTTTCACTCCTCACCAGGCGCTGGGGGAAGGCTGGGGAGGGCGCGGGTGCTGATGCTGATAAGCTGACTCACGCCCACCCGCAACTTCCTCGTGGGGCATGCGCGAGGGCGGGCGCCCATGGCCACAGCCCCGCAGGGCTGCCCGGGGTGTGGGAGCCACCCGGTCCTCAAAACATAGGGGCTGGAGGGTGTAGGGCTTGGAGGGAAGGAAGGGCTCCTGCAGGTGTTGGGCGTAGCGGTCAGGCGGCATGGGCTTTGAAGGTTAGGTTGAAGTTAGACGTCTGATTCTATACAGGGAATAATCCCATAAAATTAAAACTGGAATAAATAAGAATAAGAAATAATTTCAAGTTGAGCTGTGTGTAATCAGGCAAGCAGTCATCCAGCTTGCTTTCATTGAGAGCGTCACAGGAAAGCACCTCTCCTGCCATGGCTGAGTGCCAGCAGGAAGCACACCCAAGGCCATGGCCTTGACTCTCTCCCTCTTGCTGCGGGCCCAGGCTGGCTTGTGGCCCCAGCTCCTCACCTGTAGCATTCGGCATGGGGCCGTGCCCCATTGGGGAGGAAGGCTGGCTGCACGGCCTGGCAGTGCAGGGCCATCCCTAGCAGAGCAGAGTGGTCAGACATTTTGTGACAGCGCTGTTTCTCACATTCAGATGCAAAGCAGGTTTTCGATACATTTTTCCTCCTCCTTCCCGACCTATCTGTGAGGGATGCAGGGGTGATTTGATGGCTTTAACGAAGTTCTTGACATACGTCATGGGTCAACTCCAGTTTCTGAACACTCCTATATATACATAACCAAGCAGGTGGCACTTCTACAGAGAAATCAAAATCAAATACTAGAGCAAGAACAGGTTGCACCTTTTTTTTTTTTTTTGCAGAGAAATAAATATTATACATGAAAGAGCATGCTGCTGAGTCAGAGTGGGGCTCTGTGCCTATCCACCACGTGGTCTCCTGTGTTTTGTGATCCCGGGTCTGACTTCAATCCTGTATATTTGTCCTCTACCCATGCATCAGCACAGTTTGAGAATAGCATCAACAATAGGACCATACAAACACTTACAGATGAGTGTTTTAATGATACTCGGGGAACAAAAGAACCCCAAAACCAACCATGAACATGCCATGCTGTTCCTTTCTGTTTCTTTCAGCGACAGCCCCAGCTCTCCTCCCCACACCTCCCGTGCAGCTGTGCAGCATTTTAGGCAAGTAGGGAGCAAACCTCTATCCTGCTTCATTATACAGTTACAGGCAAGCCTGTTAGAGCTGTGCAGTTTACCATCTCGCTTTCATTTTAAATTCAAGTTTCAAATCTAATTTATTTATTTATTTATTTATTTATTTATTTATTTATTTATTTTGCTATTAGTATATTACAGCTAGAAGGAAAACCCAGTTTTTTACATCCACATCTAAATTTCTTGCTCAAGGTTTAACTCAGCTCTTAGGCAAGCAGGGAAAGCAGCAGAGCTCCCCATCTCTGAGAGGCCCTGCTCCTGGCTTCCCTGCCTTTGTGCTGGCTTCCCATCTGCCACCAATGTGAAGCACCGTGTCCCTCCTTATCTGCAGAGCAACCTGGAGCAGTTCATCGCCTCATTACGGCTCTCTAGATTTGCTACAGAAAGCTGAACTCATGGATGTCATTCTTGGCCAGAGCTCCTTCTCTTTTCTTAAGTATCATGGCTGCCGGTATCTTGTAGTACATACAAAGAGCTCCCCGATTGCAAGATTACAATAACAGAAAGCACACAGCAGTCAAGTGCTTTGTTCTGCTTTGATCGGAGGCAGAAGTCATAATCTGCCCATCACTTAAAGCTTCCCTGAGCACACGTCCTTGATTCTTGGAAGCCAGCTCTTCAAGGGAAGATTATGAATCCTTAGTCAGGAGTGCTAAAAAAGTTGAAGGACTCGCATTGAAGCCCCTGTTCAAAAGAGGCTCCTTGATAAAAGCACGATAGCGGGTACTATAAACTCAATAATTCACAGGGAAATCCCCATAGGAATAAGCTTTCTTGTGCTCTTTAATAAGCCTCCAGTATTTTAACTATACGTGCTCCAGGGTCAATTTTGTCCAGGTGGAAGAAGCACTGTAGCTTGAAAAGGGAAGCTCCTGTTTAATAAGAAAGGGCCTTAAAATACTGCTAAAAATAATTACTGTGGAAAAGAGGAAGATGTGAGAGCATCACATGTACCACATTTTTCCTTTGCTTTCACACAAAACAGTTAGGAAAAAAAAAGCAGAAAAGGCAAGTGAAATTTTGCAGCGTATGTGCTATGTAGAGGAAATTAACTTTGCTAATCAGCACTTGTCGTAGAAAGCTTTGGCAATGGAAAGCTGTCCAGATACATCAGAGCTAGATTTCTTCCGCTGACCCACTGCCGTCACCCACTTTTCTCAAATAGCAGAGCTACTGCTGCAGGAATGTGCCTACATACAAGCAAACTTTTGCTATTTTCAACATGTAGCGATTAGCGAAAACATCCAAGCCACCACCTCCTCCTATTTCTGCCACCACCTCACAGCAGAAATATGTTAGAAAGCGCCGGAGTAAATACTGGAAAACAGCACATAGCACCCACTCTCCAAGGAGAATTCATAACCACATGCCCTCTTGCAGTATGGGATCCATTCAGTTGGTGTCAACGTGAACAGACACCCCCACCTGTATTCATCCAGATTATAAGCACATCTGAGTGCTTTTCATACAGACACGTCCGGGACGAATGGAAAGTATCCAAACTGTTCATTGGGAAGTATGTTGACAAAATATCGTTGTGCAAGTGACCTGAAAATATCTTCTTCCGAGAAATAACCCTCTTTGCAAAGCAGATTAACATTTTTAGGAAGTTTGTTGTTCCCCCCCCCTCTACACCCCTCAGTATTTGTTGGCTCCAATATTCGCACATGGAATAAGAGGTATATAGAGTAATGAACTGAACTCAGCTGGTAACATTTTTCTGCCTATTAGTGGAAGTAAATGACACTTTTTTATCCCACAAGAGAAAGGCAGAAAGAAGGCAGCTTTATTAAAGAAGTCCGAATGCCTTGAGATATTAAGCTGCTCAGACAACTGTCGGCTGTCCCCTCACAATGACAATAACAAAGGAAAACACTTTGTGAGGAAAGAGGAAAATCCAGCAGTTTCAGGTTACAGAAAATCACTTTCATCTTACAAAAGAAAACAACAATAACAAAAACCCCACACACAGCTCAAGAGATTTCTTGTCCTGTTCTTCCCCCTAGCCGTCCCCAACCTTCAGACTACAAAGCTGGCAAGAGTTGAAGAAGCTTCAGCTCAGCAGAGATTAGAGTCTAAGTATGGTCTTGTTTACAGAAAATACAGTTGTGTTTAAATTTAAAATTAAAGCAGAATTTTATGACTCAGAAACAGGGAAATTAATTAAAACTAGGCAAATGCAAAATGCGCCCACACTATTCAGCAATGTGTAACTTGGGTCCTGATAATGGGTTGATAATATGACACTTATTGCTCAGAAAGCCCCAAGGCTTCTAGCCAAAAACTAAGGTGTTTTAATAATCTGGGATTAACCTTCTTTGGTTACCTTCACAGTGAACTTGGTCTCTGTGCTCTCCTGCTTCGATGCACCACTATCCATGCAGCCACTGCGCAGGAGAGCCCAGTGTACACGTTCATGCAGGAAAAAGAGAGCAGGTCTCTGCCCCTCGGAATGCACCCACAGCCATCCTCACCACCCCCTATCTAGCTCCTGCTGGCTCTTCCCTTGTAAAGGAGATCTCAGTCTCCTGTGGTTTCCATGCCAGTGAGTGAAGGCAGAGCAGCAAACACCCTGGTTCTCCATAGAGCAGGCTGCACTGCCTGCAATGACCACACCAGCACTCTCTGCCAGGAGCTGCTGCCCTTGGCAGCAGGCTGTGAGGACAACACGGGCTGAATTTTTGTTTAATGTTTACAGGCATGAAGAAGGGACCTACCTGACCTCAGGGGGCTGCTGGAGCCCTGCCCTCCCTGCTATGGGAGCAGTGCCAGAGTGCAGCTGAGGACAACCAGGTCCCTGTAGATCCTGCCTAATCAGGCATTCTGCTATTTGGCACAAATGATTGTGTCACGGGGAAGGTCATTTTCCATCTGGTTCTTACCCCAACAGGACAGTATTGCTCTGTGCTACCTGGGGAACTGAGAAAGTCCTTACGCTCGCTTGACAAAAAAGTGTAAGGCTCTGATTCAGCCAGGACTGAGGACTTCATTTTGCAGAGTTCCACAGAAGTTCAAGCTGTTCTAATCACAAAACCACAGTGACAGTGAGAAACTACAACAGTGTAAACATAAGCAAGTTAGCCTTTAAGGATGTGTGTCAACTTGGTGATGCTCAGGTATGAAAATGGATGTGTAAAATGAAGGAATTAAGGTATAAGATAGCATGTTTAAGAAGTAGCTCTTTGGGTCTGCCTTCTGCCTGAGATCTGCTGCGTGTTTGTCCTGACAACTTGGGGAATTGCTCAATATTACTAAGGGCTGACAGCCTGCAAGTTGGTTTTGTTCTTGAGAATCCTGCTTTGATTTTAGTAATCCACAGTTAATTCGCATTGTGCTTGATTTCTATGCTGCAGGCTTGCAAAAAATCCTGAGGATTATTTTCATGCGGTCAATCAGAGAGGGGAACAAACTTCTTTCTGGTTTGAACTCTAGCACTTCAGTACTCCCTTGCAATCCAGTTCAACATGCTAACACAGCGAAGAACAAAATAAACAAGACTTGCTTTTTTTTTTGCCATCTTTGTGAGATGCATCAACTTGATGGAATATCAGATGAGCCCTAGAACCAGTATTGGCAGCAGGATTTGGTGACTTGAGGCTACAGACAAAGGATGGCTACCAATTGGCAAAAGCAGGGCATCAAATCAGCTCTAACTGTCCTATACAACAGTGCGAATACTGTTCTAACAGGGATTTGTATACATCGTGCAACATTGATTTCAATGGGAGTGAGGCCCAAAGAGCAGAATTGTATGTGCTCAGTAGAGGGACTATTACTAAAAGCCTCCAAAACGTCCACCTGCAGCAAGGTCATGTTGGCCTCCTGCAGAATGGCTACTAGTCACATCGGAGTAGTTTTCTTGCCAAATGCAGCATTTTTGGCAGATTTACTTGTTCAGAGACAGCTATGTATCCATCCTTGCTGGTGCATCCACAGACACAGATTGTGCTAATGTGCACACAAATCAGACATCAACACAGAAAGTGCAAACTCAAGGTTTTCAGGAAGCAAAGTTCAAAAGGACTCAATTCCAGAAACCTGCCAGGTTGACATTTGAAGGTGGAAGGGGGAGTTCAGGAGAAAACAAATAAATCCAAAAGCCCCCACAACCTAAAACAAGAACCAAACCTGAAAATATTTGAACCTCAAACCTAAACGTGGTGTCCACATTGGTTTGTTTCTTTTCCCTTCAAACCTAAAAAAGAGCAATTTTCTGTAAGTGCAAGCCATGAGACTTCCCCCTTTTACAGCTCCTTCGCCAATATATCTTGTCTTCTATGTATGGCACTGGGACAGGTCTCAGGCTGAGGGGAGGAAGGACACCTAACTA